GTCAGAAGTTGAATGGAAAAGCTGCAGATCACATCACGAGATTGCAGGACTCTGCAACCATTGAAAATATGAGCCGGTTGCTAAGCTCCCAAATCACAATGACATGAAAACTGGGGTTGTGGGTTGTAACTACAAGAAGAGGTTGTAAATCACGTTTTTTCAGCACCATTTTAATTGCAAACCATCTTTAAATGAATGCCATAAATCCATAACTACCTGCACTCTTTTGGGCTTTGTTCCTTGCTTTGCCCATATAAGCCAGCTGCAGACCTATTCAAACAGTGTAGCGTAATTTTGGGTGACATTTTCACTTTGTCAAGGCATATAACAATCACCCAAGACTTGACTCCTTGTTTTGCCTGCAGAAGTGGCCAATATTTCCGAACCTCTGTGATAGGGAAATTAAAAGTACCGTAAATCATTAATCATAATTTATTTTACATTTTGCTAACCATGAAACCAATGGGATCAATCTGTAAGGGTCTCCATCTTATTCATGGACAGCCCTACAGATCCGTTTATCATTTTACAGGGTCCTGCAGAGTCTGAAAACTTTGAGTTCAAGGTTCCCAGCTTGCAATTCTATTTCCCTGCCATCTGATGTCAAAGGAAATGATGGAGCAAAGCTTCATTCTTGCTCTAGAGATACCCTCCTTGGTTAACAGCTATCAGTTGCTTTGGATTTGCAAGGCCCAAAATAAGGCTCACCAGGGCAAAAACAGGGTTTTTTCAAGTTCTTTGTAGAGCTCCCATTTGTTCAAGAGGAGTGGGGGTGTCAGTCCAGGGTGGTCTGTGCAGCTTATGCACACAACGTAACAGACACATACGTAATTGCACAAACATGGTAAACTATTGAGCAGGAGAACAAGAAGTCTATGCTGTACAAGAAAAGGACACCCACCTTTGTAGGGGCTCTAAGAACATGCTCCCAGAAAGAGCCAAGATCAGAGATGGCTATTAGCCTCTGAGGTTTCAGCGATTTGTTTACTCCTCACCCCACCCACCCCCTTTCTTTCCCAGTCTTTAATCTTCTGCAACCTATCCCTTCCAACCTTTTGAAAATGAAATAAACCAGAGTAAATCAATGTCGCCACTAACAAAGAGCACTTCTCTCCACCCTACGTCTTATTTAATCAGAAGAAAAATGACACCAGGAGCAACAGCAGATAGCATCTTGGGCAAACCATTCAGCTGCCAATAAGCAAAAGATTAATGCCCAGGCTTTTATTTTTAAAAGCCTGAAATATCTCCTTTGGTGAAGAAAAGGGGGGTCCTGGTGGGGGGAACGATTTCCCAGTCAAACATGCATGAAGGCCCACTGTTTCCTGCCTTAATTAAAACATTTTGGGTTTGCTGGGGTGGGGTAGGAAAAGAAAAAACTAAAGAAAGCTGCCCCCAGCTTTTCTGTCTGGAATGTTAAAGTGCGTGCCATCGTGGGACACCCTTGGAAAAAAATGGGGGGGAGGGGCAGTCCTTTTCTAAAATGAGGAACAAATATCTGATTTAGCAAAGGGCCACCATCTCTAATTAAGACATTTGCTTTTACCTCTATTTAATTTTTTTTTCTGAGTACACTTGCAACAAAATCAACTCAACTGCAACTTTCCTAAGAATGTTTATGGGATCCCATTTGGGGCCCAAAGGCATTCTCTGAAATACAAGAAGAGAGTTGTTGGAAGCTGGCCCTAAATTTACAGCATGCTAGCGCCTACATTTAAAGAAAGTCTTATTTTTAAGGTGTCAAGGTCTAAGGCAGGTGTCTGCAGAAATACAGGTACCGTGAGTACAACTCTGGGAATCTCAGCATTATTGCTTACATAAGTTGATGGCTAAATATGGCTCAGAGTGTTTGCCACCCTTCCCTCTTGCAGCCAAAATCCAGCTTTTTTAAAAATGTGCATGCCATTCTTCAAAATCTGATCACTTGACAGATTCCCAGGAAAGCCGTCTTTAAATTTAAAATTGGTTAGCTGTAGCCTCTTTTTTTATAACAGGCACTCCTTCTTGTGTAATAATATTGTACTTAAAAATAATAGCAATGTATGGCAGTCTATGTATTGCAAATATAAATTAACAAGATAACCATAATGAACATTCGCAAACATCGAGTTTTGTCATTTCTTTTCAACTGAACGTGGCATGTGAGGATTTTTACCTATTTATTTAGAGACAGAGAGATTTTCCCATGTTATGGAACCATACCAAAAGTGTGAAAGTTCATAGACTAGAGGCGGTATATGTAATAAAAAATAATCAACCCAGGTTAGAATAGGCAATGCATTTTATAGCAAAAAGAAAAAAAAAAGCACCATTTTGTCCTCAAAACTGAGCTCAGTTTGGGAAGAAATTGCAGTTCAGAATTCAAACAAACCTCAGGGTTGAAATGAGTCCCTGGTACTCTCTGAGCTTCATTTTTTTTTTTGTAGACTTTTCATTATCCAAACTAATATCATAGTGCTAGTAAAGAGTGAAGTTTCCTCTCAGTTGAGCAAACCCCACTCCATATGAACACTGTTGATGTTACCTGGTTTGGATAACAAAACGCCTGCAAGAAAACAACCAAGCTCAGAGAGCACCAAGGACCCCTTAAAACAGGGGGTGTCAAAGTCGAGGCATCATGTGACGTATCACAACTTTTTTCCCTTTGCTAAAACATGGGCATGGCCAGCACATGACGCATCTGGCCCCTGGACTGCAAGTTTGACACCCTTGCTTTGAAACAAACCGGTGTATATAGAATGTTGTTAGGTTTTCAGAAGAAGTTCCATCCCAAACTCTTAGTTTGAGTTTGAGTTTAATAAAATTTGTATGCCGCCCACTCCCATTGGAACTCTGGACGGCTCACAGCAAAATAAAAGCATTTAAATTTTTTTTAAAAAATACAATATTTAAAATTAATACATCATTCATTCAGTCAAGTGGGGCTGGATATTAATCAANAAACGAATCTGTCCCTGATCTGTTCTTTCAGGTCTTCCAATGGTTGCACCCATCACCACTGTAAATTCATTGAAATTATGCTCTGTGGTAAGCCATTTTAAGGTACCTTTTTAATTAAAGTCGGGGGGGGGGGGTAATTAAAGTCAGTTTACAACTTTTTATAAGGACGCATTAAGTTAGCACAAGACCTTTTTTCTATAAGCCTGTATTTTAGTTAATATTATTCAATGTGGACATGCAGTTACACAGAAAAGCAACTAGCATGTGATACAGGGGTGGGATTCAAAAATTTCAGCAACAGGTTCTCTGCCCAGTTGCTGGATGGTCGTGATCATGGTGGGTGTAGCCTCGTCTGCTTCCTGCACCATGGCGGGAAGGGAACGTTTTCACTTTCCCCAGGCTCTGGAGGCTTCCCTCGAGCTTCTGAGAGGGTGAAAACTGCCTCCCTCAGGTTCTGGAGATCCTCCAGAGGCCATAAATGGGCCTATTTCTGGCCTTCCAGAACTTCCAGGACACCCGTTTACCCCCCCCCTCCCTAAACCTCCACATGGGCCCTGCACTTACCTCGCATCCAAAACAGGCTGCGTGGAAACTCCTGGGAGGGGAGGTGTGGGAGGGATGGGGGGGATGGTGTGGTGTGGGTGGGGCAGGGCCAACCAGGGGTGGGATTTGGAGGTTCTCCAAACCGGCCATGTTAGCTTTGGGTTCTCCCGAACCCATAGCAACTCATCCCTGATGTGATAGCTGAATTAAGCAATTCATAGAACAAATAAGCAGCCTGTTCTGGTTTGCTATCTGGGAGGAAGTGAACAGGTTCAAAGTGCTATTTATCTAGGTAAAATGGCAAATGTGTATTCTGGAAAGTCCTAAGCTTAGGAGATCCAGGCTGTCAAACTTCTGGCCTGCGGGCTGGATGCATCACACGCTGGCCACGCCCATGCCCGGTTTAGCGAAGGAGGGAAATGTCATGATACGTCATGTGATGCCACCATGACAACACGAGTTTGACACCCCTGGAGTAGATGATTCACACAATGTATTCGACGCATACCATGAGAAAAAGAAGATCAACTTGTGCTTCAACAATATCTTTTTGGTCTGTGGATTGGAATGCACATGACTGAATGTTTCTTTTTCATAAAACAAACTCTCTCCCTAGAATACCAATATGAGCATTTCAGCTTGAGTTCTTCTGCCTGTGTGGAGAGGTGTAATTTACTTGGAGGACTATTAAGTGACATGAGCCCTCCCAGAAGACCATTTCACTATGTTTCTATTTTCCTTGTTTGAAAGATAATGAATCTCAGCATGGCTACTGAGAGGTACAGTCATAGATGGATGGGACTGATTATGTACATATGCATAAGATTATCTGTTTTTCCATCAAATTTCCTTTCTTTTCTTCTTAGGATAGCCAACTTCCACCATTTATTAGCCAACCATTTGACCAATGAAAAGTCAAATTTAGTTTGTTTAAAACTCTTTTGTTCAATTGATTTATTTGTGCTTTAATATTTTTCACCCTAACAGCATCTGCCTGAAAGTTCTTCAAGAACTCAGGATTAAATTATCAATCTCCTAGCAAAAATATGTAACTGTCACTGCAATCAGGTTCAGTGGGAGGTAGCCAATGTTAACCCAGTTTTTATAAAAGGGAGCAGGAAAAAGCTGGAAAATTGTAGGGTAATCATTTTAATGTCTGCTTTGATCAAAGTTGTAGCAATCAAAGGAAAAATAATTAAATTCACTGAGAAATAAGTCTTGCTGAAAGAAGATCAGCATGGGTTGCACAAAGAGCCAGATTGGCCTACTGGTTAAGGCCCCAGGATAGAACATGGGAGATCATGAGTTCAAGTCCCACCTTAGGCATGAAAGCCAGCTGGGTGACTTCGGGCCAGTCACTCTTTCAACCTAACCCACCACACAAGGTTATTGTTATGGGGAAAATAGGAGGAGGAAAGTGTGCTGATGAATATGTTTGCTACCTTGAATTATTTGTAAAAATAAGAAAGGAGGGATGCAAGCAAATAAATAAATAAGGTGAATCCTGCCTTACTTACCTTCTCAAATTCTCCAAGAGCATCAAAGATGAGATGAGAAACAGATATGAGAATGATTCTGTTGACACTCATGATTATTGAAGGGACAGGTTATATACTTTCTGCTTCTCTGAAATATTGTCTAATGGCACGTACATGAAAATAAAGAATATGATGTAAAGAATATCAGATAGCGGATATATCCCATCAGGCATGACACTGCACTCTGTCCATAAATTCTCATCTATGCAAGACATACCAAAGGGTAAAGGGCAGAGAAAAATCTCTATACACCAATATCATGGGCCTCAAACCAGGCAGTAAAGACAAATCTCAAGGCACAGCTTTACATCAAGTCCTGAAGAAAATAGAAGATCATTCACTGTCCACACAAAAAGATATTGGAGAAGAAAGGGTGTCAGCTGTTATGGGAATGTGTCAGCGCTTCAAGATAGCCCATACCAGAGGACTAAATCCAAGAATACTAATGCTATTTTGTATTTTAAGGTTATAGTAACCATATCTTGTAAGTCTGAAAATTCTTCCACCTGCTTTGCCTTTATGTTCCAGAGGGGTCTAGGACAGTGATCTCCAACCTTGGCAACTTTCAGCCTAGCGGACTTCAACTCCCATTATTTCCCAGCCAGTTTAACGTTGCCAAGGTTGGAGACCACTAGTCTAGGACAATTCGGCATGGCCAACTTGCCACAGGACAAGAGTTATACTAATATCTAAGAAATGATGGGAGACAATCATTTTTAAAAAAGGATGCCAAAGGAGAGACAAAATGAAATGTGAAGGACAAAAATTAAAATATTTTTAGAATTATTTTAAATAATTGAATTGTCCCTCAGCGAGCTGTCGTGCAGCAGGTTGGCCATGGTGAGTTGTCCCACGATGAGGTGGCTGTCTTGAGCCCGCTGTGACGAGTCAGCCGCAACGAGTTGGCTGTGGCGACTTGTCCCATTCCATTTCAGAGTTCTAGGGAGGGTCAAGTCTGAGGTGCTTTTTCCACCACCTGACTTGCTTTGGACTCCATCACCTTGCCTGAGTGTCTCAAGGTTATTCAGAATGAGAAGGCAGGAGTCTGAAAAGCTTGAATGTTCACTAAGGCATGAACCAGAAGCAACTGGTTTAGAGATATATAAAGATATATATGCAAAAGAAGCAACAGTCCTGACTGTATTCACATTCATGCCATTTTCACTTTCATATATACAGCACATACGATCCGCATCCCTGTACTACATTAACCTATTTTCTGAGTTTGCTCTGTATACGGAGACATATACTATCCAAAGGACTGGATTTCCATAATATGCTAAGCTAAGGCACTCAACTAAAATCTACAGTTAATATTTATCAAATGTAGGTGAGTCCCCTGCATGATTTTGCCTTTGAACCCAACTCTGCCCAGCTGAAATATGCAGCAGAATTTAAGATTGAACTTACTGGTGAAAATTATTATAAGATGTGCATGCTCCTTTATAAGGAATCATCCTCAGCCTGGCCTTATTCATCCTGTGCCCTGATAAGAGCATCCAATACATGGGGTTCTAGATACTTCATCTGCCTCTGTGTCCTAGCCAGTTTTTCCCTGGCTACTGAGGATGAAGAAGATGTGTCAGCATCTTTCTATATCCATTTACCACTGTATGTAAGTTCCTGTCCACATTCTTGTGAAGTAGGCAACAGCTTTCCTGCCCCCAAACTACTACATGTTCATGGCATTTGGACCAGGACATCCATCTTATTTGGGTTTGCTTTTAAACACAACTCTAGTCTTCCCAAGCTCCTTCATCCTTCTGATGTTTGTGGACTTAAAAGACATAAAACAACTATCTAATCCTATTCTTTTCGCTAAAGAGGCTCATTCATGCTTTGGTCTACTGCACACACCTTAGCTGAGAGAACCTGGACCATAATTAAGACAGGTACACATAAAAGCACCAGCCAAGCAAAGAGTTCCCAGGTAAGTCAAGCAAGCATGCCAAGCCACGTTCTATAAAAGAGGCAGAAGGAATCAAGATAATGGCAAGGTAAGCACCTTTTCCAAAATTGGATGTTCCTTGTTCAGGAAAAAAAATGTTCTGTAATCTGCAATACCTGCCCTCCTCTCCTGATTCTGATATTCGTGTTTTTTTTCTCTCCATGGCATGGCTTGGAAAGTTCTCTTCACTTGATTACTTTGTCACCTAATGACAACATTAGTCATTCCATACTAAGAATAGTTTCATTGCAAATTGCCTAAGTTCTAAGATGCAAGCAGGTTGCAAGCAGGAGCTCCAAGATAATATAGGGTCCCCTTGAAGAAGCATAGAAGTTGTTGATGGTGCCGGTGGTGTTTTTAATTTCCTGCACAGAGCATGATTTTGTGGGAGGGGAAAAAAACCACAGGAGAAAGTGGGCTTACAGAAAGTAGTGGAATATGTCGGAGAATAAAGCAGAAGGAAGGAAAATGTCACCCCGGAGATGGCAATGCAGTTGAGGATCTGCGGTAGAGAAGCATTAACTAGCCCTGGGACCAGATGTGTCACAGGAGTACAAATCAACAATGTCATGTATGCAAATGCACTCTGCTGTGATTTTGAATTAAAAGCCAGTGACAGTAACAAGATAAACACTGGTCCTTTTCCCCACCACCTTCCCTTCAGGAGATCCCAGGCACACGGCCAAATAAGTGAGCAATTATCGACTGTCATCCATTCAGGGGAATCACGTAAGCAAAGATACCTGTTTCAAGCAAGGTGCTGAAGCCAAGTTCTGATGCTAAACGTGCTTGGCAGTGGATTCAAAAGGAGCACAAAGTAGATAATTAAAGGACAGGAAAGGTGGAGAGCCAAAATCAAAGGGGCTGCACATAAGACATTAAGCCGCTAGAGTCCTTCCCATCTTTTGAACTACAGGTACTCCTCTACTTATGACGACAATTGGGACCAGTACTTCCAACACCATGTGAGATGGTCATTAAATGAATCACACACCCAATTTTATGATTTTTTTTGCCAGAGTCCTTAAGCAAATCACCAGGGTTGTTAAGTGAATCACCCAATCATTAAATGTCTATGGAGATTCTCAGTCATCCAGGTCATGGTGGTCCCAAAGGTGCTTTTTCAATAGGCAATTGGACTTTCTGGTTAATCAGAAAGTCCAGTTGCCTCTTGAAAAAAGTAACTTTAGGACACCCAATCGTTAAGCAAATCCATCTTCCCCCGTTGACTTTGCTTGTCAGAAGCCAGCCAAGAAAGTCACAAATTAAAGATTATGTGTTGCTGGGAATTTACAAACATCGGTAAATATATGCCGGTTGCCAGACACCCAAATTTTGATCATGTGAGCAGGCAGATGCTACAATGATTGTTAGTCAATTTTTTTTCAGCATTGTAAGGGGCAACATGCTGACTCTCTAAACCACTTAGAGAGTGTGGTAAAGCACTGTGAAGCAGTATATATGTAAGCCTACGAGTGCTGTTGCTATTATAACAATTTTGAACAGTTGCTAAACAAATGGTGGTAAGTCAAAGACTATCCATATAAGATCATTAATTCCATAAAAGATGGCCAGACCATAGATAGTTCTTCAATGCAGTCTCCAAATCAGGCTTGCAAAAAAAAAAGGTTATTGTATTGGGTTTACCAAATTGACCTATAATCCTCGCCTCGCTGAATTACAAAGATGCACTGTGTTACTGTGTGTGTGTGCATGCTCTGTGTGTATGTGCATGTATATACCAGCATAACTCTGAAACACCACAAGCGATTTCAACCAAACTTGGTACACAGATTACTTACTCTGTGGAAAAAAAATACTGTGGGAGTAAGACAACCCTAACATCCCTTGGGGTGTGTGTTCTGTTAAGATACAGCCTGTTGTGCCTTAAAATGGATTCTACTGTACTGCCGTAAAATGGCTTCTACTGTATAGTGCAGTAGAGTTACCATGGTAACAGCTTCACAGTACTCCACAAGGGGGGCTCCCTCTGGTAAGGGAAAAAAACCAACATTAGAAATTACATTTGGTCCGGACATTTTTCCCCTATAAATAAATACACAGGCAATGCCAGGATATCAGTTAGTCATCTATAAATTCCATTATGCCTCTGGGCCCACCAGTTGCGACTAGGAATACAAAAGGTTAGTTTGGACCACACTGAGTGATTTTATTTTTAAAAAGCTCAATTTGTCTCCGATTCAAGCCTTCCCTTTACGTACATATTTTACTTTAAGTTCTGAATCTTGATTCAGAAATCTGCATCTTGTTATCGCCTATTAACTGTAACTAGAAATAAACAATACATTGACATCTTTCCCATCAAGCACTCTAATTGAAGAATCCAGTAAAATCACTCATTGTGATTACAAGCTAGAGCTGATAGTCACAAAACTCCTCCTGGTTCAACATTGCTTGGCCTCATTTCCCCTTCTAGAGTCTTTCTCCAATGGAAATCCTGAGAAGAAAAGTATCACTTTTTGCAGAAACCCTGCCTGTATCTTTGTGATCAACCAAATAGTTTTACAATGGTTCAAATGAAATATGATTTCAAAGAGGCAACATTTTGATTCAGATGATCCCTGGATTTTCCAAATCAGACCACTTCACTTCAAGATACCCCCAGTTCTGATGCCAACCTCTCATTATAATTGTTCTTATAACTAGATGCTGGATATTATTTACAGTGTGTGTGTGTGTCTGTGTGTCTGTGTTCCAGCATAACTGTGGAACGCCTTGAGCAATTTCAACCAAACTTGGTACACAGATGACTTACTCTCTGGAAAACAATACTGTGGGGATAAGACATCGCTAACGCCCCTCCGGGGGGGTTGTTCTGTTAAGATATAGCCTGTTGTGCCTTAAAATGACTTCTACTGTACTGCCGTAAAATGGCTTCTGCTGTAGAAGCCTAAAGTGGAGTTGCCATGGTAACAGCTTCACAGTACTCCACAAGGGGACTCCCTCCGGTAAGGGGGAAAATCCAACATTAGACATTACGTTTGATCTGGACATTTCCCCCCTATAAATAAATACCCGGGCAATACCAGGTTATCAGCTAGTGAGTTTATATAAATCCTCTTCTCAAATCTAAATGCTTTCC